ATCTCTGTCAGTGAGATGCCGCGGGACTTTCACTAAGATCCCCAGGAAAGAGACTTTTCTTCACGCGGGAGTTGAATGGGCTCTCACACTGAATGTCCCTATCCTCAGCCCATGAAAAGATGAGAGGGATTTAAGGAAGACTTGTCGGAGCAAGGATTCTTCAGCCTAGAGAAGAGTTCTCCTGTCGTGAGTCAAACGGCAGCGGGGGAAGAGGGTCCAAAAGAGCCATACCGAGAGAGTGGGGCAGCTGCCTGAGTCTGGCTGTGGTTCTTCAGGGAGCCGCCTGCCCATGCAGCACGGTTGTTCATTTGACCTCTGTTTATTTGAGCAAAGGCTAAGTAACTGGAGAGAGATGTCAGGGCTCAGAGAGGGGACAACAGAGGGAGCAGCCCCTGTTGGTACTGCCAAGGTGTGTGACCACTCAGATTCTGCGCAAGGCATCATGGGTCAGCTCGAGGCGTCTTGCCAGCACTAAGAGGGTTGGCTGCCACCAGGAGACCCCAGCACCCAGAAGCTGTGAGGCAGGAGCCCCTCCTCTGTCAGGAGCTGTGGGGAAGGGGTGGTCTCAGGAGACAGCCTGCTTCCACTGCATACCAGAGGGCAACACAGGGGAAGGGCTGACAGATTCCCCCCTGTAGACAGGATTTGAGGATGTGTTAGAAGCCCACTCCTGGGAGGAGATGGAGGTCCAGGAATCAGAGGGAGCAGAGGAAGGAGGGTGAAAGAACAGACCAAGGGCCCTCCCCTAGACAGCTTCCTCAGACCACAGGTCATCCTGAGCTAAGGGCATTGGATTGGGTCTGAGACTGAAGTTGTAAACTGGACCAGACTGTTTTGAACTGTTTAATGCCAAAGGGAATGGAAACCTTTGCAATCTGTTCAAGATATCATCTAGGAGAGGGAAGGCGATTTATCAGAGCATTTTAAAAAGAAAGAGTTGGGGTGGGGGGGGAGCACAAAAGGATTCCATATTTGTATCAATACTTCACTTAGTTCAGGCTATTAAACAAACTGTTTATACAGCTGTCTTGAGACCATTAGGGGAGATCTTGTGTGAGAATGGCATATGCCCAGCATGGTTGGAGCTGAGAAGGGGAGCGAGGACAACCTGGGTCTCAGTGACAGAGTTTGAGCCCCTGTGTCAAGCCATACCTGAAGGTAGATTTATGCTGGAGTTTTCAGTTATATGGGTAAATGTATTTCCTGAGCCAACCTGGGTTGAATTCTCTGTCATTGTCAGCAGAAAGAATCCTGATACAGTGCCCATAGACTTTTTCATGGGGAGAAAACATAGATTTCATTGGATTCCCATAGGGCATTGCTAAAAAATAGTATGGCTCAGGGAAGAGAAACTCAAAAGCTCAAATCTAATGATCTCATTGACAAATACAAGAGAAGACCATCTAATGAGATGCGTGGGGGTCTCAGGGATATTATGGAAGAACTAGGTCAGAACATTCTTGGGTGCAATGTCTGGAGCCTGACTCTGGCATTAACTGGCACTCAAAAAATATTTGTTGAATGGAAACCAGCAGGAAAATTATCACAAGTCCTACTTTACATGCAAATTTTCAGGAATATTTTCAGGAAAATATCTAATGTGTGAACAGCTAATCTGCATTTCCATGTTCTGACAGATGGCCCATATTAACAGAACTCTGATTATAGAAAAAAAAATGAACAGAAAAAAAGAGAACCTGAAAATATTTATTGCATGTATACCATGTGCAAGGCTATACAACTATTAACACTATTGTGACTGCCAAATTTATTTGATTTATAGACCATTTCTATATATTTCCCATTTTTCAGAGACAGTCCCAGCTGTTACCTGGAGAGAGAAAATGACCCTGGAGTTTGCATAGCTGGAGCAGGGCATTGGGTACAAAGGTTATATTCTCAAGGTAGAAACAGAGATCGTCTGCATGAAAATCACCTGGGACGTGTATTTAAAATGGGGGTTCATTGGCCCTGGCCCAGACTTATGGAAGGAGAATCTCTGTGTAAAGGGCCCTAGACTCTACATCTTAACAGACTTCCTAGATGATTTTATGTATGCTAAAGTTTGAGAAACTATACCTCCTAAAATCTGTTTATTTGACTGGCAACATTCAGGGGACACAAAAGATGCAGGTTCTATCCCTGGGTGGGGAAGTTCCCCTGGAGAAGGAAATGGCAAACCACTCCACTATTCTTGCCTGGAAAATTTCACGGACAGAGGAGCCTGGCGGGCTACAGCCCATGGAGGTCACAAAGAGTTGGACACAACTGAGCATGAATGCACATGCATGCATACACACACACACACACATTTTGCACAGTCCCATTGGAGGTAGTTCTCTGAGGAAAGAAGCCCCCATCCTAGGCCTAGGGGATTTGAAGGAGCGCAGGGTAAAGTGAGATAGTATCGCCCTCCTCAAGGTCAAGGTCAGTTTAGGCCACCTCAGAGGTAAGGGGTTGTGTGCCGAAGGTCTCTGAATGCAGGTCTGTGGAAACCCGCTCTGTATTCTCCTGATGGATGAACATAACAAGATGGAATTACAGAGTAGCTGGTGGGACAGACTCCTAGAGCCCCAAGGTCTCTGCATGACATCACTCATTCTAGACTCGATCAAGTGCTGCCTTCTGTTGCCCTGGAGAATTTCACTTGGAAGGAGGTACTGTTGTAATAGACATAGACTATTGTTTTAATTGGCAATTAAATTCCCTGAAGGTGAGTCATGACTTCTACCTCTCAGAGCTGTTGCCCCCTCTCCAACCCACCACCACATCCACTCCATGGTGGACCACTCTTCAGATGCGTGAAAGTCTTTAGTTTGACCTGCCTCCTGGTTTATTTGAGACCAGGGGGCTGAATTGCCTCTTCTGCCTTGACCACCTCCTGGAGTAACTGCCGGAGTGTCCGCTCCCAAGTTCTTAGTCATAGGACTTGGCTACAGTTGACTCTGAGGGTAGGGTGGATTGACTTAAGCCCGCCCATGCCCCTGTTCTCTTGGCCACAATAGTCTGTTCAAGAATGGGCAGTGACCTAAGCATTCTGACCAGAGTGAACCCAATGACTCTTGCTGAGAATTTGGGGTCAAAGACTCTTCTCCTTTGGTTATGAGTGGAAGCCTGTCTCCCAGATGTTCTCAGCAGGTTGCCTGGGGCTTCAAGAGAAGGGAACACATGAGAATGGGGCCAATATGAAGAGAGCCCAGCCAAGAAGTGGGGAGAAACTAGGACCAGAGCCCATCTTTGAGCCTAGATAAAGATTTGTTTGAAGCCACATCTATTACTGGACTTCCCTGGTGGCTCAGTGATAAAGAATCTACCTGTCAATGCAGGAAAAGCAGGTTTGATCCCTGGGTCAGGAAGAGCCCCTGGAGAAGGGAATGGCAACGCACTCCCATTATTCTTGCCTGGAAAATTCCATGCACAGAGGAGTCTGACAGGCTATATAGTCCATGGGGTCACAAAGAGTCGGCTATAACTTAGTGACTAAACAACAACATCATCTATTCCTAAGCTGCTCAATTATCTGTATTCATAAGCGTCTCCCTGCCTTTTTTTCAGTTCTTAAGTCAGTTTGGTTTGGGGTCTTGTCACCTGCCCCAAACAGCATCCTAATATACCTTCAGCTCCCTGTTTTTCTCTTGCAGTAATGTACCCCAATCATCTTTGTTCCTTCCTCCATCCCCATCTCAACTGAAAACAAAAACACAACTATGTATGAAATAGGATGAGATGGGTGATGGTAGGAGGTGGTAGGATTATTTGAATTCATGACTTGTTGAGACTCCCTGCCCAAAGAATATTGATTAATAGATCAATGTCAACCTGGAGGGAAGACTTGTCCTGTTCAACACTTTAATCAATGACTTGGATGAAATAGGAGACAAGCTGAGCAAGTCCCAGATGACACAAAGCTGGAGGAATTATAATATGACAGATGCCAGAATCAAGATTCAGAATTATTTTGACTGACTTGAGCAGTAATAAGGATAAATATATACTCTTGCATCTAGGCTCAGAAAAATCAATAGTCCAAGCAATGGACTGAGGAAACCTGGCTTGGCAGATGTCAAAACATTACAGGATTTTAAGTTGACCACAAGCTCTCAATGAGCCAGAAGTTGAGGCAACTAGCAACACAGTTAATGTAGTTTTCAAAAGAAAAGCTAACCTTGCATCAAAAAAACCCAAACTTTTTGGCCAACCCAATACTTTCCCCAGTGGAATAAGCAAGTGGAATTTCCTGGGAATCAGTTTTCAACTCAATATATGAAAAAAAATTCTGACAGTTCCTACAATGGAACAGCTCTCCTCCCAACATTGTGAATGTAATAGTCCTTACATCATCAGAATGTATTAGAAAGGATTCTATTATGGTGGTCTTCCTTTGACAGCACAGATTTTTTAAATGACTTTCTTTAACAGCTCATAAGTTAAAGTAATGCACACATAAGCATCCAGGAAAAAATGATGTGAAGAAGTAGCCAAGCTCTGCACCCTAAAGTTTACTTCTGGTCCAGCAATGAGCAGCCCCATCTAGAAGGAATATCTAAGAATCCAGCCCTGTTTCAGTCACTCCATTCCCAGACCTCTTCCCTAGCACTCTCCCCATCTCCATTCCTGCGTTGACTTGGCTTGTCCTTAGGCCTGCTTCTGTCTTCCACTTGGCCCCATTTTCTGGCTGACTCCCACCTCCCTGAGCATGGAGAATCCACAGAGTGTTGGGAAATCAGGTCTCCTTCCCTTTCCCTGACCTTTGACCTCTGACTGCCTGGGGTTCTGCATTTTCCCTGAGCCAGGCTTGGTTCATGGACCATCCCAGGCAATGAAGGCATGTGACAATTCTTTTTTTTTTTTCCTCTATGTTGTTCTGAGTACTCCATTTTACTTGTTAACCCAGAGAGATGGAGAAGTTGGGCTACAGCATACTTATACACTTAGAATGTGATTTTAGCAAGTGAGTTTCACTTTGATGAACACAAAGCCACACAGATGACTGTACTCACATGTTTCTTGCTGAAATGGTCCACCTCTTCCAGAAGCTTCTCTTGGCACTCAGGGTTGGTGGCCAGGAGGTAGGTGGCGAAAGAGAGAGTGTTGGTGACGATCTCGTAGCCGGCGATAAGGAAGATGAAGGCCTGGCCCACCACCTCATCCACACTCAAAGACTTGGACAGGGGTCTGGGTGGGTGTCGCTGGGAAGGGTTCGCTGGGCATTTGGTGGCAGAAAAGACCTGACCGACGATATCAAAATTCTCCACGCCTACGGTGGCGGCAGAATGGCGCACATCATGGACCATTTGGAGGAAATCTCTACGCCTCTAAGGGAGGAAAGAAGAAAACACACATTTGGGCCTTAGAGTCACATAAGAGAGCACTCTCACAGCAAAAAGAAGATGAGCACATGCAGCTTTCAAAGAGTCCACAGGAACAAGGATTTTCTTTGCGGGATTGTCTGAGATGGGGGGAACCTGGGACCTCACCCTCCCAGCGCCCCTCATTATGGCACTGAGTACAGCCAGCAGCAGACGGTGTTGCTGCCGATACAGCATGAGGCCGTTCTTCCAGGCTGATTCAGGAAGCTGTTAAGCCACTTTGATGAGTAAAGAGAGCAAGTTGCTGAACAGGATGTATAGCAGAACCTCATGTCTGTAAGAATGGCACCTGGACAATGTCTGTGATTACATGTGTCCACGTGTAGAAAATGTTTAGCAACATCCTACCCAGCAGTTCACGGTGAGCTGAAGGAGCTGGGAAAACCAGGGAGGTTTTTATTATTTTCCCTTGTCTGCGTTTGTATTGTTGGTTGGTTGGTTGGTTTTTCCCAATAATAAAGCAATCCGAGCATCATATAGAATTAAATTAGGGACTCACCTGGTGGTCCAGGGGCTAATACTCTGCACTCCCAGTGCAGGAGGCCTGGGTTCGATCCCTGGTCAAGGAACTAAATCCCACATGCTGCGACTAAGAGTTTGCATGCCGCAACTAAGGATGCCGCCTGCCCAGGCACAGCCAAATAGATAAATATTTAAAATATAAATCAAAGTAAGTGCTCCATTGTTCATACCCCACCCTCCAGGGCAGACTTCTGTGTCTAGTTTTTGTCTCAACAGGGAGTTCACAGGACCTGGGGCCAGGGAGGGAACTCATCTGAAGAAGCCTGCCTTCCAAGTCTCCAGCCTGCATTTTGCTCATCCTCCTCAGGCTGGGTCCCTGCTCTCCTCAGTAATCTCCTGCCCCATTTAAGTTAAAGCTTTTTCACCATTTCCCCCTCCTTCCTTATCAGTAGTTTGCAGATCCTCTCTATTTATACTACCCCTAAGTGTAACAATGGAGTGTTTATGTATTACTTTAGTGCTAACACTGCTGGTAGCTCAGCTGGTAAAGAATCTGCCTGCAATGCAGAAGACCTGGGTTCGATCCTTGGGTTGGTAAGATCTCCTGGAGAAGGAAATGGCTACCTACTCCAGTATTCTAGCCTGGAGAATTCAGTCCATGGGATCTCAAAGAGTTAGACACGACTGAGCGACTTTCACTTTAGCGTTGACAAAGTGTGTCCCTGACACATCTCATCTTTGAACAGCTCTTGAATGTGATGAAGGACCACCGATGGGTTTCTCTGTTCTGAAGTCTATGGGACTCAACACCAAAAGGGCGAGTATTAGAACCACCAAGAGAAAAAAATGATCATTTCAAAGTTCTTGACTTGTTTGCATTATTTTCTCAGTTCTTTGGCTTCTGGATTTCTATTGAATCCATAATCTATGTCACACACATTAGCATCTTTTAAGGAGGTTGTTTGAAGAAGGAAATGGCAACACACGCCAGTGTTCTTACCTGGGAAATCCCATGAACAAAGGAGCGTGGCAGGCTACAGTCCATGGGGTCGCAAAGAGTCAGATACGACTTAGCGACTAAACAACAACAACAACAACAACAACAAAGATGGTTGTCAGGTCACACAGGGTTGCTTGCATCTCCAGGGCAGGATCCTGTGCCCTACCCCCACCCCCATCCCTACCCCATGCCTGTATTGGGCCAAGCACATGTTAGGTTTGCAATCAACAACTCCACAAATACTAATAAACCTGCAGTGTCCAAAGTGTATTTTGAGGAAGGTTGTGTTGGATTTACTTGTTACTGCATGCTTTGGAGCAGGAATCTTGGATCATGAGACCCTTAGATCATGAGACCCTTGGGTTGTTGACCCCCTTAGATCATGAGACGCTTGGGTCATGACACCCTTGGGTCATGACACCCTTGTAGCTCTACTGGTTAGAAGGTGTCTTCTGTGGAGATTCCAGTGGGGCTCCCAGTTCAGCCTTTGGGCCACAAGAATCTTGAGACTTAGGGAGGCAAGGCCCCACGTACTGCCAGCCTGCTTGCATGGGATTGGCTGAGAGGATGGCCCTTGCCCCTCTCTTTCCACCCTGGCCCTGCTCAATCTGCTTCCCAAACAGCATCCACAGGGCTGACTTTCCCCAGCTTCCTTTCTGTTGCCTGGGCAACATCTGAGACTCTAACCCTGGTCCCGGGGCCGGGCATGATGGCATGAATGGGAGGTGAGCTCTCTCAGCTCCCAGATGCCATTCGGGGACCCCAGAGCATCCCAGGCTCTCTTTTGGCCGGCCCATTTGAAACTCCTCAGATGCTATATGGTTGCGATCCCCGAAGATTTCTTGTGGCTTTGCTGGAGTCACATGAGGACAATGGGGGAAGGGAGGGCAAAGCCACATCCACCTCATTGGGTCTACCCTGGGGCAGAGCTGCAGCTGGCATCCTTTCCTCTCATCCCCCCTCAGCCAGGCTGCTTCAGAGCTGCCGAGCCTTATAGAACTCTGTCTTAACCTCCAATCCCAGAAGCCAGAGGAAAGGGCGGCTCTCTGGGGCCTGTGTGCTGGAGAGGAGCATTAGTGTTGATGGGTTCCTTTTATTTGCACTGTATCGCAGAGGCTATTTGAACACTGCCCATTTAGGCCTGCAACAGTGCTGGTTTATGGTTATATCCAAGAAAAATATGCACCCTGATAGATGTAGGTGTCTAATCCATCCACTGGCGAGAGCTTAGAAAAATATTTACCTTTTAACATCTGTGCTGCATTTTCCACTGTGCAAACACACATCTGCTTGATGGAATGTCTACGGAGTTTAGATGGGTTTAAAGCAAGTTTTCTTAGTAACTATATAGCTCTGTCTTGACACGGGCAGTCCTGGATTCATGGTTGGGAGGTTTTTCTCAGATCAACTTGTTGTTTGAAACAAATAGCTCTTGAGTTTAAAAAAGGAAAAGCTTCAGGCAATCCTAGTAATTGGATCTTTAATAACCCTTCACCTCTTAGCAAGCTATTTGGTGCAACAGTTTGAGAATTTTCAGCCTGATTCCTCCACCAGTGGGTTTCAGGCTGGGGGTAGGAGGGGTGTGTGACAAACCTTACAAGCATGAAGGAAGGCCTTCACAGTAGTATTAAGGTTTGAAAACAGGACTTTGCTCATCCCTCCTTCCCCAGGCTCACCCTGGAGAAGCATGGACCTGGATAAGAATGTTCTGTTCTTTCAGATGGCGGAGCTGGGCCAAGGACACCAGGAACTGATTCTTCTCACACCTCTAAGGGTGGCAGGTTGAGTTCCAAGTGGTATGGGCCAAAGGGCAAGCTTGTCTGCACCTTCCCCCACCTTCTGGACAAGGATACCTTTGCTGCACAGTGTCCAGAATGTGAAGCTGGGGCAGGTAGAGGCTACTCCATGCGACTGGCCACTAACTGACTGCGTCTGCCTTGATCTCATCTTCGGCCAGCATGACGACACTGGACCACACATCTTCCCCTTGGTAACCTCTCTGACCTGCCCAGTCTTTGAGAAAACACCTTAAAAAAATAATTTTATTTATTTGTGTTTTAAAATGTTTGTTTACTTGGCTGTGTCAGGTTTTCGTTGTAGCTTAGTCGTCAGGTGGAATGTGGGATCTTAGTTCTTCAAGCAGGGTTCAAACCTGCATCCCTTGCATTGGAAGGCAGATTCTTAACCACCAGACCACCAGGGAAGGTCCCTTTTTATTTATTTTTAAGTTTGGTTGTGCTGGGTCTTTGTTGCTGTGTGGGCTTTTCTCTAGTTGTAGCGAGTAGGGGCTACTCTCTAGTTGGGATAGGCAGGTTTCTCATTGTGGTGCCTTCTCTTGTTGCAGAGCACACGCTCTAGCGCGGGGGCTTCAGGAGTTGGGGCACTTGGGCTCAGTAATTGCAGCTCCCAGGCTTTGGGACGCAGGCTTGATAGTTGTGGTGCACTGGCTGAGCTGCTTCGTGGCATGTGGAATCTTTCCGGACCAGGGATGGAACCCACATCCCCTGCATTGGCAGGCGGATTCTTCACCACTGAGCACCCCAGGAAGCCCGAGAAAACACTTTTAAAGCTACATCTTATGCAAGCCAATTCAGGAAGAGACATTTCAGCCCTGTTTTTTTTCCTTTTCAGCAATTTTCTTGACTAGAGTAAGGCCCGTAAAGAATAGCATTATACATGCACGAGCATATCCAATATTGAAACTATTTTCCTTAACACTGAACATTCCTATTTCTATTTTCAGCCAAGTTCAATCAACAAATATTTACTCGATTCCTACGTGTGCCAAGCGTAGGGAATAGTCACAAAGGGGAAAGAAATTTCTAGCTCTCAGTGAAGCACGTGAGGGCCCTCAGCCATGCCTTTTGCCGTAACACCCTCCATCCCTCCATGCAGAGAGGGATTGTGGGATTGGTGACAGCTGCCTGAACTCCCCTCTCAAAACGATGCTGTTCATGCTGTAACGCTCCATCTTGCTGTTTTTCAATATAAAGAATATAGTGATGAAAAGCACATGTGGGCAGATTTATCTAGAAAATTCTCTGGGGTGGCCATAACCTGTGCTGGGGGTGATGCTTGAAATAAGGCGGCCTGTGAGCTTGAGGGGAGGGCAGCTTTAATTCTACTCCCCTGGGTCAGAGGGTGGACAGATTGCTCTGGGCTGCTGCTCCCCGCCGTCCTTCCTGCCTGCTTTCACCTCTCTCTCCTTTTTTGTTCCTCCTCTGCCTCCCCGCCTCCCACCCGCCTTCTCTCTCTTGGCCGCCCGGCAAGCTCTAAGTGCTAGGCCACTGAAGGACAGCATGGCGTGAGTGTGTGGGGCTGGGAGGGGAGGGAGAGAAAGCAGACAGCGATGCCAAATTAGCTTCTATTCCATTTCAACGCCGTGTCCTATTAAAATACGTTACCTCTTCGGCTGCTTGCTGGTCCCGCAAGGCAATCACATTCCTAATGAGTTTGTTAAAAAAGCCATTCAGTTCATCTTGGTTCTTATTGGGCAAAATCCGGGCCAGTGGGACCATTATGGATGGAAATGATACTTGAAAGAGAAAAACAAAAGTGGCATTGAAAAGAGGGTGAGAATAAACCAGGGCTATTAGATGCCTGTTGCCAGGAAGCAAGTCCTGGCCTTGAATTAGTCTTTTGAAGGCCTGTCTTCCCCTCTGAATTGCCACTGCTCAGAGCAGGGTTCTACCTCTGGACTCCTCACTCTTCCTTGCACGAAGTAAGCGCTCGATAAACGTCTTTACGATGGAAGTGGGGCTTCACTTGAGGGCCCACTTCCTTCTGGACCTCAAGCAGCCAGTCTCATGTTTATAAGTTAATTTCCCTAGACCTAGATAGGAGGGTCCAAGGTTTGTGTATTTCATCAGGAAAGAAGAGATTGCAGGCCATGTTTCAAGTCTTAGCAAGTGGTAGAAGCCGATCTCCTTTTTAAACTTTCTGGTCATTTGCATTTTTTGTTTTTTCCTTTGGATCATTTTCCCCAGAGCTGCCACTTATTCCCTCCTGGATGATAGCCTGAACCGTGGGGGGCAAGCCTGTCCCTGGGGAGCGTGGCTCAGTTCAGATCCTCAGCATTCATGGAGGGTCTCCCGTGCACAGGCACACGCGGGAGTTGGGGGAGAGGACCCTTCTGATCCATACATGTCTCAACAGGCTCTGCCCATTTTCAAGAGCAGGGGCCTGCACCAAAATGACACAGCAGGGAGGGAGGGCTTGGAGTGGCAGCCACCATGGGAAGTGGACCCATGTGCCCTGCAGTGCACATGATGCCCTGTGGTTGATGGCAAGGGGAGCCAGTTCCCCTGGGGTATAGAGGGTGAGGGGTAACCCTCTGTGCTTTGACTGCCATAGCGACAACTGCTATACAATATCAGTGCAGAGCAGATGGAGGTGACAGGGGCTTCCACAGAAATTGACTCAGAAATGGGAATGAAACTGACCAAGGAAGGAAATAGAATTTACCAGCCCAGCAGAATGGTTTGGACTTATGGCAATAATCAATAACCATAATAACAACACTGCAGTGCTTCCATAAAAGCAAGAAGACACTGGAATTGGCCAGAGGGTAAACACTCACTTCTAAAATAGAAATAAGATAAATGGACCGGTCTCCTTACCATTGGGTAATCTGCTAGTCACCCATCACTTGGTTTCTCGTTCACTATGTGTTGGACTTCAAGCAGAGTGGTGTTCTAAAGAGGGTTTTGCTGGAGGGGAGGAATATGTCCTAGAAAATGAAAGGTTTTAGGTTCCCGTCTTGGTTCTGCCTTTCCAGCCTCAGTTTTCTCATCTGTGAAGTGGGGAGGAGAATGCCTTCCTCACGGGGTGGAAACAGGCTCTAGCAGAGGCAGTGTAGCAGGCCTCTCAGCCCCGTGCACTGCGGCTGTGCTCGCTGCGGGGACGGTGAGCTGGGCCAGGCCTGCCTGTGTGGCTAAGTGGCCCCAGGTTGGTGCAGAGGAGCCTGGGCATCTCCAGGGAGACCAGGGCTCTGCAGGGCAGACTCCACAGGGTGACTCAGAGTCACCCCGAGTGCCCTTTTCCTGGTGTCTGGGGTGGAGCTCTGAAGCTACCTGAGGCCACTGGGGTGCCACGGGGTCTGCCCAACTTGCCCAGTTTACCCCGGTCGGCAGCAGCTGCCGACTGCTTTTTTTTTTACTTTTTTTTACTTACAGAGTAAAACCAGGAGAGGTTTGGGGATGGAGGATGCAAAGAAGCGCCTGCAGTGCTCCACGAAGGGGTGCTCAGGAGCCTCCTGGGAGTCCACTTCGGTGCCGAAGGCGACACTGGCCACCACATCTGTGGTGTAGCAGCAGTAGGTCCTACAGGGGAGGGAACCATTTGTGTTCAGAAGGAGGTGGCCACTGGCCTCCCCATCCACTTCCTCCCAGAGTGCACGACTCCACCATCTACCTGTTCAAAGTGGGGCTCCAGCAGATCTGGAGTGGGCTGGTAGGAGAGGAACCCTATCTCCTACCACATCAGAGTGAGATCCTGGGAGGGTGACAGCAGAATTCAAGGGGAGTGTGTGTGTGTGTTCAGTCATTTCAGTCGTGTCTGACTCTGTGACCCCATGGACTGTAGCCCGCCAGGCTCCTCTGTCCATGGGATTCTCCAGGCAAGGATACTGGAGTGGGTGGCCATTCCCTTCTCCAGGGGATCTTCCCCACCCAGGGATCAAACCCAGGTCTCCTGAGGTTTCTGCATTGCAGACAGATTCTTTATCCACTGAGCCACCTGGGAAGCCCATTCAAGGGGAGACATAAATACGTAACAGGGAGCTGATCTAGACAAAGATGGGGTCATCCTGACAAAGTCAAATACCAAGAAATACACTTTACTTTTTCCTCCCCATGAAGGAGGGAAAACACTTTGCCCAGAGTCTATGTGCTTTACTCCAAAGCTGTGCAGAGCCCTTCCAAGGCCAGTGTCTAACGACTGACTGATGTAGATAGACCAAGTTGTGATTGATGAAATTATTAATAGCAAGCTGATTGTCTAGTCTTATTAACTCTGTCTCCCTCTTCCTCCTAATTGTTTTACAGTTTTCATTGGAGCAACAAATAAAAAAAAAAAAACCAGGGACCCTTTACACTCAAATAAACACAAGACAAACTTTGGGAGCAGTTTCACGAACATATGTATATTATTACAGGAAACACACATTGCACTTTAGAAACAAACAGAAGGAAAAGTGTCTGGCAGTAGCTCCAGAAAAATTAACCTCTTAGGCTCTAGGAAACCTGACCCTCAAATGGCCATTTTAAGCTCTAAGAGAATAACCTTTTTTGGTTTTCTTTGTAGGGGTACTTAGGTTGCTTCTAAAAAGGCTAACAGCTGGGAATTCATATCCTTTGCTAATGAAAGGGTCTATTTTTGTGGCTTGACGTAGGTACACCCTTAGTTCCTCTTCTTCATAAATTCTGTAACCACTTATCATTAAGGACTACATGACATCTCCAGATGACGCATTTTATTTTGACCTCTTTTACTGAGAACATCTCTACAATTGATTACACATTTCCCAGTGACAGCAAAAACAACAATGCGACTGCTGAATGTGATTTCATCTGATCCTAAACATTGAAGATGTAAAGGTTTTAAGAGTTATTAACTTTGCTTTTATGGCTGCTGGACCAACTGAGCACCCAACTCCCAGCTCATGCATGTCATGACCAGAGAGAATGTGGAGGAGAGAATTTTGTAAACAATATGGTAGAATGTAAATGCTGGTGATGATTATGTTATGATTTTATTAACATTGATAATGAGAGCGAGCTGGCTTCTGGCTGATCTGCTGTGTGACTCTTAATCTGATATAAACCATAATTTAGCAGAGGTCAATTAGGCAAAAAGCCAGACAATCAGTTGTTTAAATTGAGGCTCCACTGCTAAGTCATGACTTTCAGGCTAGGGGCGGTAGGGCACAGTTTTTCTTGAATTAAAACTGCATGGACTGCACCCCCCCCCCCCCCCCCCGAGACCCTGTCCTTTCTGCACAGACATATCTTGCTCACTCCTGGGTCTACAGAGGTCAGAGGGCAAGTCTCCCCACAAAACACACCCACTCAGGGTTCCCTGCACAAGTCACAGCCCCTGGGGCTTCATTTGTATTTGCTTCACATTTTCCATGGGTTTCATTTCTTCTTCTTAGTCCACCCACACTTTCTGGAGCTTGTAAGCATTTCCATAGTTTGTTGGTCCCAAGGTAATTGTTCAGCAATTATGTAGAGTTGCAAGAAGCAGCCGTTTAAAAATATGATTTCTCATCTATAATATAGCCACTCAGTGCCCTTACCTCTGGATGTCAAAAGCCTCCCCCGATTGTGCGTAACGCCCTAGGTGAGCCAGGAGCACTTCGCAGGCCTGGCTGATTAAAGGAGTCATCTGAGAACAGATAACAAAGGTACAATTAGGACACCATGCAGGGAGCACACCTAAATTAGCAGCAAATGAAGAGGTTATGTATGGTGCTTCCTGGGAAAATGGTTATCATTTTGATGTAACTTTAGGGTACCTGAGAATAAGATATAAAATTCACGAATATTGTAAAATACAATCGCTGTAAATGCCTATTTTAGCTCAATCTGTTTTTTTTTAAAGCAAAAAGGAGAAAGGATTTAGAGTAAATAACTGTGAAATAATTATAAAAATGATCATTACATGCTTAGAAATGAGAATCAGCACTGAGTTTTCTGACATTTGGTTAGCATTAGAGAGTAAATAGACCACAATCCGTATGTACTAACTCGGGAATTAGCCCAAATCCATGTTTGCTTGATTCCAATTATACTTTAGATCTTCCACTAGAATGTAGAATCTCAGTCCTGAGAGGAACCTAAGGTTCATCCCTTTCTACTGCTTATTCAATACAAAAATCATTTTTAGAGCATGTGAATGGATGGTTATTCATTTCTGCTTAAGCTGTTTAAAAACTTCAAATATAGGGAACCCTCAATTTCAAGAGGCCTTTGATATCCAGGACTACTGCTGAATTTTTCTCTTGTTTTTTCGGCTGTGCTAGGTCTTTGTTGTGGTGCACAGGCTTTCTCTAGTTGCAGCACATGGGCATAGTTGCCTTGCAGCATGTGGGGTCTTGGTTCCCAGACTAGGAACCCAACCCACCGTCCCCTCCATTGGAAGGCGGATTCTCAGCTGCTGGACTGCCAGGGAAGTCCCCTGAATTTCTTTTTTGAATACTAAAATATCTTTCTTATGGAAAATACCTAACATACACACAGAAAGAATGGTAGGGATTATGAACTTTCATGTCACTATGATCTGGCTTCAACAAATTTAGTTCTCATTTTGGCTGCCTGCCACATTGACCCTAAAAGTCTGACTTCAGTGAGTGGAATTCTTTGTGGAACCCAATGGACACCCACATGACCTTTTATTTTCTCCTGTATTTTTGAAAAGCCAAGTTGGAAACATCAGAGGGAATCCTTTGAACCAGGTCACAATCAGGACTGACACCATAGCTAAAACAACATGCTGTGGTCTAGTGTTTTGAGTATTTCTTATGGAAAACTTCCTTTGAAATATTGCTTATGTTTAGATTTTACTTTTTTGACACTAAAATATTCAGTTTCTGAGATCAGGGGAGATTTTTGTCTGTCTGTTCATTTTTGTATCCTCAGCACTTAGAACAGCACTTGGTACATAGTAATTCGTTGAATGAATAAATGAGTTTTAATCATTATATAAAACCACTGTTCAGTTAAGGCTTGAGGCACTGGGAAAGGTTGTAAAATGTTAATCTATTTGTTAGAAGGTATATTGTTGTACTGAGGCAGAATCTGACTCCCTCTAACAACCCCTGGCTGGTTTCATTTCTTTCTTCTTTCATGTGTGTGTGTACATAGTTGTGTCTGATTCTTTGTTACCCCATGGACTATAGCCCATCTTAAAGAGATGGGAATACCAGACCACATGACCTGTCTCCTGAGAAATCTGTATGCATGTCAAGAAGCAACAGTTAGAACTGGACATGGAACAACAGACTAGTTCCAAATCAGGAAAGGAGTATGTCAAGGCTGTATATTGTCACCCTGCTTATTTAACTTATATGCAGAATACATCATGTGAAATGCTGGGCTGGATGAAGCACAAATTGGAATCAAGATTTCTGGGAGAAATATCAATAACCTCAGATATGCAGATGATACCACCCTTATGGCAGAAAGCGAAGAGGAACCAAAGAGCCTCTTGATGAAAGTGAAAGAGGAGAGTGAAAAAGTTGGCTTAAAAGTCAACATTTAGAAAACTAAGATCATGGCATCTGGTCCCATCACTTCATGGCAAATAGATGGGGAAACAATGGAAACAGTGAGAGACATTATTTTCTTGGGCTCCAAAATCACTGCAGATGGTGACCACAGCCATGAAATTAGAAGACACTTGCTCCTTGGAAGAAAAGTTATGACCAACCTAGAAAGCATATTAAAAAGCAGAAACATTACTTTGCCAACAAAGATACATCTATTCAAAGTTATGGTTTTTCCAGTAGTCATGTGTGGATGTGAGAGTTGAACCACAAAGAAAGCTGAGCACTGAAGAATTGATGCTTTTGAACTGTGATGTTGGAGAAGACTCTTGAGAGTCCCTTGGACTGCAAGGAGATCCAACCAGTCCATCCTAAAGAAAATCAGTCCTGAATATTCATTGGAAGGACTGATGTTGAAGCTGAAACTCCAATACTTTGGCTGCCTTATGCAAAGAACTGACTGACTGGAAAAGACCCTGATGCTGGAAAAGATTCAGGGCAGAAGGAGAAGGGGATGAGAAAGGATGAGATGGTTGTATGGCATCACCGACTGAATGGACATGAGTTTGAGCAAGCTCCGAGAATTGGTGATGGACAGGGAAGCCTGGCATGCTGCAGTCCAGGGGGTCACAAAGAGTCAGACACGACTGAGGGACTGAACTTGAACTTGGACTATCGCCCATCAGCTCCTCTGTCCATGGGATTTTCCCAGCAAAAGTACTGGAGTGGGTTGCCATTTCCTCCTCTGGGGGATCTTCCCAACCCAGGGATCAATCCTGCATCTCCTGTGTTGGCAGGTGGATTCTTTACCAGTGAGCCACCTGGATGCTTCAGATACCTGGACAGCAAGTTTTGACCCTCACCCCTCAGCATCTGCTGGACCATCGTTCACTAGCGCTTCAGCTACTCTGGGCACCACATAGTTTGCCTACACTCTTCACTCTTACTTCTCTCTCTCTTTTAATCAGCATCACTCCTGAAAGGCTTCCCTGGTAGCTCAGATGGTAAAGCGTCTGCCTACAATGCGGGAGACCCAGATTCAATCCCTGGGTCGGGAAGATCCTCTGGAGAAGGAAATGGCAACCCACTCCAGTATTCTTGCCTGGAAGATCCCATGGACTGAGGATCCTGGTAGGCTACAGTCCATGGGGCCGCAAAGAGTTGGACACGACTGAGCGACTTCACTTCACTCCTGAAAGGCAGTCCCATAAATGGAGCAGCACCTCAGGTGCAGTCCCGTAAGTCATGAAGAGATCACTTCCCTGCATGTCAGTTGCAAAGCCAGGTATGTGTTGACTGAAGATACATAACACAGGCAAATACTGAGGTTCAGGTCAACGAAAACCACAAATTTTCTTTCCATGAGTCATCATCAGGTGCAGTTGGTTTTTTGACGCTTGAGTGTCCATTCATTAGAAAGGCTTTACATTTACCTAACATGTACCTCTGTAGAAAGTTGTCCTGCCATCTGTTCTGAGCAAAGCCATTTCTTCCCTGCCCTGAGACAGTCAGGTGATTGGAGAGGCCTGGTAGGGGGCCAGCCTGGGTTGCTGCTGCCCAAGGTTGGAGCGGCACACGGTCTTGTTGGACCCCTCCTTCCCGTAACTTCCTCCAAGCCAGCCCTACATGGTCTGGGGTGTAATGAAAGTGCTGTGTCCCCAGGGGCCTCCCTACTGTCCGTGGGGGATAGTCAGAGAAGCAGAAGGGCACCTCTGTTGAGTGAGAGTGAGCGAGCTGGTCTGAGCTCAGGATTGCATGGGTTCCTCAGTGCAGGAACATGTGGGCAGCCGGGCAACAGGTCAAGGAGTATATATTTAAAGCACAACACACCTACACACCCAGTGGAGAGATGGTAGAGTATCTGAGACCCTTCCTGTGTTCCCTACTGCAGAGACTCTTGGAGGGAGCATTTGTAGAGGAAAGCTAGGGAAGAATTTTCTGCTCATCAAGCCATAAGGGTTTAGAGTGCTGGTTGATTGTACTAGGCATGGGTGGACCAAGGGTGTACTCACACATTCAAAACTCATCTCCTGTATCCTTGGCTATTCCTTCTTTGTTCCATTTGAAGGCTGGTCAGTGTGCCTTGTAAGCCTTTGGTTTGTCACTGTATACGCAGGATCAGACACAGAGCTATGGCCCTCTACTTTCAGCAGCCATGGAATTGGTCAGTATCACTGTTTCCAGCTCTTTGGCCAGCTGTGCATGAACCTAAATAAAGGTTCTATCAGGCACTATCTTATCACTGTTAGCATAGAAAGACTTTGTCAAGTGACTTTCCAAAACAGAAATGTAATTTATCTCATCTATCTATCCTGAAGTCCACTAAACAAAAGGAAAAAAAAAAAAAAGAGAGACAGTGAGAGAGAAAGAAAGAAAGGGAGAAAAGAAATGAGGATGACTATTCTGAATTACTATCTTGGTAATTATGAGCGGACTCTTACAACTACTGCATTCTTTTCTAAATTTTCACAAACCATCAATTTAATAATCCATTAGTACAAAAGTATGGGCCAAGGGGTCACTTCTAATAGCCTCTAGGCTGTTACTCTCAGTAAATCTCAGACTCACTTAATGATGGAGAACTCAATACTGTCTAAGCCACATTCCTATGACTGGCTCACTGACCACCTTTCCTTCCATTATTTTAATAAAATTAGTAGTTCAAGTGAACTGTGCTTTAATATAATTTCTTATGCCAAAATATCTTTTCGATTTATTTCAGAGGAATAGTAACATGGTAAAAAGAAAAATGCCATTTGAAAGGAAGTCTCTTTAGATATCAAGCTAGAAGCTTCCTTAATGCAACAAAACAGGGACGCAACTTGAAATTTGATCTACACCCAACTCTTCAGAAGCGTGTCCTGTGTATAAAGAAGGGTCTCCCCTTGTTGACCCCAATCGTATCCCTGGACGGTGCAAAATGGGGGCTGGACCGGCTGCCTACCCTCGGTTCTTCTGTCTGCTCATGATTAGAATGCTTTGTTGTCAGCTGGCGTGATTGTAATTTCTACCATACTCTGCCTGCTGTCTGTAGAACTGAATGGATAATGACATTTTTATTTAGGTTAATGTGATATGAGATGGGGCATGTAATACGAAAAATGTTTTAAAAAACAGTGCG